AGGATGACGAACAGACGACGACGACGACGACGACCAAACTTACATAGATTTCGGCATATTTCGACTTTGGTCAAACTTTGGCAATTAATTATATTTTTTTAGTAAAGCATGTACAAAAAAAGTAAAGATACTTTTATTATGTAAATCGCATGTGCTCTATCGATTGAGCCTATTATAAATTCGATCGGTCCACGCATTATTGAGATATGCAAATCTCGACTCCTATCAGCTCATGTACTCGCATAAAGATACACGGTCGGTCTTGCGCTGCGCGTGAACTTGGCGCGAGACACTACCGTGTCTCTTGATACTAAATTTAAATGTAATTTATATTTACAAAAGCACGATTTACTCGACTTAAATACTTAATTAGACTAATGCGTGCAGATTCTTGGCATTATCTTGTCGTGTCTGCAATGCCGTATCATTAACGATAGAAATAAAAAGAAGTTTGCGAAAGAAAATCCGCCAATAATTCCGAGACCTTTTGCGATACTCGAGACAGAACATGAGGAGATAGAGAAAATTGAGGAAGAGAAAAAGAAAGAGGAAGTTCAGGAAGAGGACAAAAAAGAAGCTGTCCAAGAAGAAGAAGCAGCTGAGTTAAATACATGTAAGATTATCTGCAAGGATTTTCCAAGTGTACGAGTAATATCGAATGCACGAGTTAATCTATGAAAGCTTTTAATTTTCTATTTCTTTTTGTTTTTTTAATTTTTTAGATTATCAAATTATAATATATTGTTATGCCTAAAAATACAATTTTTAAGATATTTTCTATATATATCCTATATATAGCGATTCCAGTTAGTAATAAATATTTTTATTTACAGAATATTCTGACGCTACATTTTTATTGAAAATTTTGCAAGAAGCATATTGTGAATTAATAAATTATTGTTTTATAAATGACGAAATTTCTGTAAGTATAAAAATATGTATAAATTAAATATATTACAATCTATGTTAAATAATATCTATTTCTGCCAAATATTACTACTTTATCATTTTAATATATGTATAATTAATAAATTGAAAAATAAATATGCTTAATTGAGATATCTATAATCAAAAAATGACAATTATCTTGTTAATATATAGAAAATAAAGTTTTTGTTATAGGAAGTATATAATAAACACATAAAACTGTACGCTCATATAATCTATATTTGCACTAAGCACACATTTATACAATCGTAATCACGCAAATTAATCCATCCTTTGATAGGCAAAATATATATATTAGTAATATAGATATTAAATTTATATATAATATATTATAAATCAACAACACACGAATATATTTTATCCATAATTACTCTACATTACTTGGTAATATCTGCTGTCTGCTGTATGTGATATTACAATTGTAAACTAATTCCCTCAGCAATGTATTTTTTAATTAAAAACAATTATTCTGATATAAATTTAAAAAAGTGGAAATAATGTTTGTCTATTCTGGAAATATTTTTCTCGTTCTTTTCGGAGCAGATATTTGTCACTTACATACGTAAAAGCAGAAGCACAGCATAGTTATATTATAAAATATATGTGATAAATATACCGAATAGTTATCAAAGTCTGAGTTAGGTTCATTACTATGTTACTATGAGGCGAGCGTGAGGAACATCGTGGACGGAAAGTCAATGCGCGAATATATTACGAATGAAATAGATAATTATTTACTGATCTTAATCTTCCGATTCTTCGTTCATAGTTAAATGTAAAATTTTTAATATGAGTCGATCAAAATTTCACCTTATCTTTATCTTAATGACATAGCAAATTTTCTAGTTGAAAACAACAAAAAAGAATTAATACGCTTTGTTTCATTTATCGCTTTCCCTTTTTACAGCCGTGGCCAGACAGCAAGCAAGAACAATGCCGGCAATCTGAAAAAGAATTAAAAGCATTACCGACCGGAAAATTCCAAATATTGCCACACTAATTCAATATACACATTTCAAACAAATTAAAAATTTTTCTTATAATAAAAATTTGCGTAATTCTTAAGTTTTAAAAAAACTTTTTAGAATTATATATTACTTCCATACTTCGACAAAAGGAAAGAAATATCAGGAAATCGTCGAGCAATTATTAATTTCGTATATTACGTTTTTGCTGAAGTAAAACTTGTTTTACATCACATTAAAACGAAGTGAATTTCAACGTGATAGCAGCTTGACGTATTTAATTAAAATATCTTGTAAAAGTAAGTAAAATAAAATTTACTCACTTCCACGAAAGCTATTCCGATACCCACGCCGATCAAGATCGTCGCGCCTTTCCGGACTCGCATTTCCAGCTTGCTGAAGCACCCCTCCCTGTACAGCGATGTGCTACCTATCTGACATATCGCCTGCATATCCGCGCAACAAGAAGTCGGGAAGCTGGCAACCGTAAATCCCTTAGCCGGAGTCCAATCCTCGGGTCCGTCTACGCCGCAACATTCTAGCTATTGGATAAAAACAAATAAAGGTATCAAATGAGAATTAATTATAATCGTCAAGGTATCAAATAAAAATTAATTATTAAAATGATTGGACAAATGATTAGATAAAATGATAGATAAATTAAAAGACAATCACTCTTCTCTTACGGTATTATCGTTTGAAAGTGAAAAGTTTAAAGTGTAAGATTGCTTTCGAAAATAGAATAAAACGATTTAAAGTCTGGAACTATTATAGCCAAAATTAGCACACGGCAGTCAATGCACTCAATATGGAAATGACTTTAATTGCTCGTCTACTATTTGCACGCGATGATCGTTTCACGTGACCTAACCCACAAGAATTGCGTTTCCCGTTGTTTTCTTCTTGGCACGAAAGTTATATTGATTTCATCGCCTCGCTTTTGTATCGACAAATCCATTAGCGTTGCTGCGCTCCCGATTCAGTATACTGACCTTTTTCTGCACATTGTCCCAAGCCAGTCTGTCTGCCTCCGTATAATTTTTCATCGATTCCTTTAGAGTATCTTTCATCGCCATGCTGAAATCGTTCTTGAACACCGCCGCCGCTATGCCCACCGCGAGCTCGATCACGAAGATTATTAACAGTGCGGCCGCAAACTATATATTATATTTTTAAGATTAATTTAATTAAACTAATAGAACTTATTATCAACTGGATATTTAAAATTATTTAATTTTTTTTTAAATCTATTCAGAAAAATAACGAAATAAAAATGAGGATCAATTAAATTGTGTGTATATTAGTACATCGCGAAATTTTTGATAATTCTAATCAGGTAGTTTATTAAAATTTCTTCTGAGAAAAAATTTGAATATAAAATAGTCAGAGAATCTGTTATTAAAATTAGAGTAGAAGTTTTTTAAAGTCAGAACACGCCCTAAAGAATACATAAGTAATCTTTAATAGATAGATAACCAGTTTTTATAAAATAAAGTTTTTTCTTAATTATTTTCTTGTTATTTTTATAGAAGAATGTCTTTGTTCTAAATTATTCAATTTTATTTGATATAACACTTTGATTTTTTCACTCACAGCGATTAACATGTTGTAATGCTCCTTGATCGCACCGTAACACCCTAGAAAAGCTATAATGAAAACGATAGATCCCGCAACTATGAGGACTATAGGCGGGGCCATTATCCTTCCTTCTAGAAAGTGACTGAATTCGCCAACATCGCATAACACTAATGCACCGGCCGCGATGATGCCTATGCCAGAAATCTGGAAAAATCAAATTCACGAACTATGCACATTTCTCTGCACAGTTGAAGATTTGGTCTATCAATATTCTTAACAAATTGAAAGCAAAATTATATCTATAGAAATTTCTATAAAACATATAAAAATATTGAAAAATAAATTTTTTGAGAATAATTTCTGTTAATTATTAATAAAAAAACAAATCTTTATTATATTAATTAAAATTTAATCTTTGAGAAAACTGCTAAAGCACGTTTAAATCACCGAATCCTTTTGCGCGCCAGATAAATGCATATATTTAAAAGTATCATGATTCCACAAATATAATAATAATAATAATTCTACAAATATCGATAAAAGTTATCTAATAATTTTACCAAAAAATTTGTATCAATATTTGCAAAAAATACTTTTTACTCGAATCACCTTCAAGAAAATCGTTTTTGCTGTTATCTCGCTATACTCACTGCGAAGACTAGATTGAAGATGAAGAGAATATACTTGATAACATTCATCCCACAAGACTCCATGGTGCCTCTTTGTACCTGCTTGTTGCTATATATAAACTGTGTTCTTACTTTCTAATCAATTTCACGATACTTCGCGGGATTCAAAAGGCCAAACACATAATCAACCGAGTTGCGTTCCGTGCAACGTCCGCGCCGTTAGTGGGAGCGATCTAGGTGGTGGCTCTTGTTCGACTCTGACGAAAGGCTTCGATCGAAATCCTCGGGTTCGAGGCTGCCAGTACAAAGTCAGGTAGGCTGGCAGGTCTTATTGGTCGTTCAGGGCGATGCACGAGGTCCTCGGCTGGCGTGTTTCTAGGCCGTCATTGGTCGGCAATCCCGGGCAAAGGTGATCATCGATGGTAACCATAGTCACCTAGCGCTACTATCCGGGCCAAAACGGCCTTCGAGGCAAAGAAAATGAAGAGGACAAATGGTATTTGCGAGCGAGCTTATGAAAGCTGTCGGGATACTTTACAGGTGAATTCACCCTTCACCCCGGGTTTGGTGCCCTCTTTAACTCGTGCCTGGCGCGAGCTATCGATCCAGAAGCCGTCGCCTGTCAACGTCTCCCCATGCGAAGTCTGCGATTTAGAAGATTGACCATGCGAAGATTAAAACGGATTTAACTTTAGCAATCGCATATGAGCGAGACATTAGTTCTTTTAGTCCTTTATATGTAAATTGATTAAATCATTTTTTATAATCTTAGTTAAAAATCTTGCTCACTCATTCTCTTCCTCAAAAGATCGCACAATGTTTTGTTCCCAGTAAAAAGGATTCAATACCTTGACCGAAAAAGAACCGATGAATAATAAATGAATAATCGGTAATAAACAGTAGTAAACGGTATAAAATCGATCTCCTGGTTGTTGACCCGATACCGGGCGAGTAAACCGTTCGACCAGAAAATCAAACCCTCTGACCTGCTAGAATTAAAATACACCTCTGTTGCGGTAATCCAATTTCAAGTGAAAAATGTAACATTATATATTTCTGAAACTCACACATTTAATATTAATATTACCTATAAAATTAATTAATGAATAATTTATATTTTTATTTTATTTTATAATCTATTTCTAATTCATTTATTCTATTTTATAACATAATTTTAATAATATTACTTTTATTGTACGAGCCACCTATAGAAGACTTATTTGATCAATTGAAATAACAAAAAATATTGTTGCAATGGATACTTAAATTGACTCCACATGCATTATTTTGCACTGCATTGCGGCGAAATAGCTCAATAGACAAATGCAATCATCACAATTTTATCGGAGATCAGACAAACCGTGTGAGAGCTTTGCATTAAACAGTCGCTTCTCGCAATTCAATAATGTCATATTATTTACATCAATCGTATATACAAAATAGGTCACAGTAACTCGTAAAGCAATCATTTTGTTTTCGTGATTTGATAAACATCTTTATTTCTTTCAGCAAAGAAAAGTTTAGCGGCTTGTTTCACATATATGAGTAGGATTCACATAAATTCGCCGTGCTGTATTATGGACATGTATATGGGTTAATGGGAGCATGATATACTGTATAGTCCCGCGCTCATTCCTCAGGTAGCTGCATCTATACGTAATAAGACGTACATGCATAATAACAACACGCCACGATTTAAAGTTCACCGCCGCACGACTAAAACATCTTTTCTAGCCTGTACTTTATGCATTCGTCTGATATTTATATGATGGACGTTGAATTTCCTGGTCTGCCACTCAGTCAGAAATTTAAAAATTGCGAAACCATATTATTGAATGTATGTTAGAAATATATTACTTCACAATTTCAAAATTTACAAATTTTTAATTATTAATATTAATAAATAAATATCGGTATTACTATAATAAACTCCAAATAGCGATTTATATAAATAATAAAAATTAAAAATTCTATTATTTTATTTTTATATGCTAAAGCTGCTATTTGTTTATTAATCGATATTATATGTAAATACTAATAGCAGTATTATCTCAGTTTTTTAAGCTCGAATCAGTTTTTCAATCAAGTGCAAACAACAAAATAAAAACTTTTCCATTGGCCACAATTTTATTTTAGCAAATTTCTTCATTATACAAACATTCACAATATTCACAAAAGAGACGTATACAGAAGAACATGTGCAATTTAATCAATAAATATATATATACTATGTTTGCATTAAAAAAAATCGAGAACCTTGCATCTAGTCTAAGTATGTTCTGTAAAAGCGTACGAAAAAATTGAAAAAGACTATTCTATGACATTAATGAAATAACATGAAATAACTATGAAATAACATTTATACATCAACCAATTATATTGCACATTTTTCGTAATTAAGTAGATATCTATCGCAAAAATAATACACAAATCACAATATATTTAACACATATAGCCTCAAGTGAATTATTTTTCACTTAGGAATAATTAAGTATTTTCTATATAATGCTAAAAAATTGCGTAATATTATATGATATAAATGTGAAGCTGTATTGTTGTTTGAATTAATGATTAAGAGACCGATTTTTTCGATGTATTAATCTGAACAGGCAGTTGACATATACAAGTATATAGTAAATGTAATTACACTGTGTCGAGCTCATCACTACAAAATTTAAAGTAATCGGTCGACAATTTTTAAATTATATTTAAAAGAATATTAATTAACATCTCGCTTGATCAGGTTTTTTTAAATATTTCATAAAAGATTACATAATATATGTAAATAACGAAATATGCATACGCTTATTTTCGATGAAATTAACATTAATATTGTAACTTATTGATATTGCAGTCCTCGTTGTTCTCTATTTTGAGATGCACAAACAATCTTTGGACAAGATGCGAAATTGCCTCCAACTCCCACCGGTTGTTGGAACGTGGGATCGTTAGAACTTGAGATGTTGATAAACGATAACGACGAAAAATATCACGAGGAATGATACATTTGGTGCGGTAAACGAACCGGAGTTCCAACCCTCTGTCGGCGACCTAGAAGCAGCAACATTGGAAAGATCGATAATTATATCTTTAACTGGGCTGCGCGCAATTACGCGGTTACAGGCGCACGACATTGATACCAGGATTTCCACAGATTCGGTAAAATTACATTTCGCGCCGCAAGCCGCATTGCACTGCTTTCCACAGGTCTAATTACGTGGAAATGCATTAATGCACGATAAGACCTGAGATTTGCATCTACATTCAAATGAACCTGTAGCACTGTATATTTTAGCCCACTTTAAATCTGAACTGCATAGTATAAATAAATTATATTATAATTGTATAGCAATAATTACAACTGAAACAAATATCGTCACACACACGTACACAACATACACACATATACACATACCAAGCGTTCTTGAAAACATTAATATATTTATGTTGCTCTGATGATGCGATTACACAGGATCGATGGCATACAAAAGAAGACAAATACAAAAGGACGAGTAACAAATAGTAATACGTTGTAATATTATTGCGTCATAATGTAAGCATACAATGCGTTTATTAAATCATAAAAGGAAATTTTTTATTTATTTTATTACTAATAAAATATATTATGTGTGTAATTTTTATTTAAATATTCTTATTACATTTATAACATATTAATAATTTTTGCAATTAATATAGTTTCAACATTATATATTACTATTAGTCATTGATTAATTGTTATGGAAATAATGGCGGGAATATTAACTTTCTCAACTTTATTTGTATCTCGCAGAGGAAACTCGTAAATTAACAAAGCATTATCACTAGATCATTTTATTAACGTGGAAATACAGTTCGAGAAAAAAAAACAGATTAACCGACTCTCCTAACTACACAAAAGTGCAAAGCGCGTATCATTTAGATCTAAGCGTGCGTGACCGTGAAATAATTTATGGAGAGATAATATTTTCATTCTGCTTGCATATATTCTCTTTTAATATTGTAATTTATATTTTTTGTTATAGCAATATTCACAGAGAAAGCAATTATACAAATGCAAGAGACATATGAAACAGGAAGAGGATATATTGGGGAAACACAGAGAAACAAAATAACGTACACTCATTAAAGCGTCATCAAGTTTACATATAAAAGATTCGCTGCAAAGTAGCAGTCAAAAGGAAAATTATATTAGGTTTACATCGTATATCATTCTCACTACGGTCTACGTACGTTAAGTTTATTATAAATTCCTTTTATAAATCACATTGGATATACGACGTAATATTTTATAGAGGAAGTGTCTTATAGAGAGCAACGTTTCAACAATATTGGGTCAATCCTAATCGGGGCGTATTTCTAATCAGATCTACAAGGTGGTGAGTATCGATCCTTTTCTCTTGTCCCGTCGACCGCTGACATTTTCTTTTGAAGTACCTCAGATTTTTCTGTAATGTGCAGAACACAATAAGGCGCGGTTGTCAATTTTGCTTTCGATCATAAAAGCTTTCTCGTGTAAAAATGTGAGGAATATTGACATTATAAATAAATAATATCAATACTTATCGTAATAATATGACAACATAATATTGTTCGTGAAATACAGTGAGCGAAGCCACAAATATTTACTCTATTGTACAAAAATATTAAATTTTCAAGTTTTTTAACCATCTGCTAAATTTACATAACAAAGTTGCAAATATTTAACGACAATAAAAAAGATCGACAAATAAGCAGTAAGCGAATAACAAAATCACTTTGCTAGAAATCTGAAAGTAATAATTATTACATTACAAACGGTAGATGTTTTAAAGAAATCTTCAAATTTTAAATCTTATATCCTGTGGAAACATAATGGCGGATTATAAACAGTGGACAGTTTATCACAAGTAAAAATGAGAAAAACATATACTTGAAAGGAAAAACCTACTGGATGCCGATGACACCGCAGGCCCAACGGTCTCCGGCGTTTCCAGTTGTCGAGGAAAGAGTGCTGTTGCCCTTGCCAAGATCGTCTTCGCCAGAATGGACAACTATGGCTCGTCCAAGAATACTGTTGGATCCGCTCAGCGAGATGATGGTGTCGGTGATATTTATTGTGGCTTCTCCGTCAGAATTGGCTTGAATATTTCCCAGATCGCCGACGTGTCTAACATTATCTTCCGGTGCGCCATGAGTGACCTAACAGATCAATAGCTCTCAAATTACAGTCAAAAGCGGTATTAAAATGTAATATCGCTTCGATGAGACAGTTAAAGCAGGAAAGCGGTAGGAAACTTTTTTTTTCTAATTTAGCGTAAACGGCAGTAACAAAAAATAAAATTTTATGTCGGACAAGGGAATTGTCCACAAAAATATGGAAAATTATAAATAAAAATATAGAAAATCGTATACAGTGATTAAAAGAAAATATGGTTGTCGTGAGAACTCACGTTTTCAGGATTGAAGTGCGCTCCCGCAGATTTACAACCCTCACTCAAATCTCCTTTCTCGTGCACGTGGAAACCATGAAGCCCCTCCGTGAGTCCGGTAATCTTACCGCTGATAGTAACAGGTCCGTTCGGGACGGACTGAACGATCTTCAAATCACCTTTGACATTATGCGTACTAGCGTCATTTGGCGTTAGATGAACGACCGCCACCAACTCCTAATTGAATCAATTTAATGCAATCAATATAATTACCAAATATATTTAAAAAAAGTGTAAATATCTTTACTAAAATTCAATTTTTCTCAGTGGACAATTAATTGGATATTTCTTATCTCACAGCTTCTAAATTTCAAATCAAATATTTTGAGAATTAAAAAAAACTGTTAAAATTTAGTTTTTTTATTTATTTTATCGAAGTATTCTCACGTTTGTGTACTGTAGAACAATTTTAAATCAGTCAATTTTTAGTGCTATTCGAAAGCTCTTTTGTTGCATTACAAGCGCATATTTATTCGTATACATCACGTAATGATTATTCCAATTTGAAACCGTGTATTGACAATTACAATCAATTCTCACGTCATGGTCATAATTCGTTATATAGTATATAACATAATTCGGAAAAGTGATTTATTCACTATTGCAGAAGTGGCTTAGAAACAACATTTGTACAATGAGTGGTTTTACGTACCTCGGCTGTAACGGCAGTTACAGCTGCCAATAGTAGTATGACCATTCGACTCATCGTATATGTAAGCTGCAAACAGAATAGTAGAAAACTGACGACTTTATATAGAGTTACATATTAATCTTGTTTTACGTTTTCATCTAAAATCATCTATTTGTGTTATAAGCGTAATTGTTGTAAAATCGCGGCAATCACAGTTGCCGATTACTTTTCAATAGATAATTTCTTCTTTAATTCTTTCAGCACAGTGTATAAAAAATATACACTGCAGAAAATACACATGTAATATTTCGCACAATTTCTTCTAAAAATTGTGTACTCTTTAGAGAATAAGTAGTTTTTATAATAAATCTTTTTTGTGTTAAATATAATTTTAAATTTGTAAACGAAATAGATATTCAAACAACTTGTCAATCAAGAATTATATTATATTTAGATAGTCAAATAATTAATCCAAATTTAATTGTAGTTTACTGGGGAAGATTATCGCTTCCATCTATTAAAAATTAATTTCTGAATGTACTGTATTCAGATTTATTAATGTGTTTCGTCTACATGTATAATTCAACCTCTATTTTTAGCTGCTCAAATGAATCTATTAACATTAACCAACGACTTTACATTAATGCCACGCTACGGTAACCTCGCACGTAAAGAACCAATCGATATATCCATGCGACGCAATTTTTGAAGCGCGGTTCAGAAAATAGGTTGCTTATATAATATTCGAACAAAAGGAAACACGCGTGGATAAAAGGAGTGTGTCGATTAGGCAAAGGTGAAGTCACTTTCACGTCAGTTTATCGAATAATATTACGATTGGTCAGTCATAAAAGATCTAGCGTGCCATTTATTTTTCCCTATTACGCGCGCGTAGACATACAGAATGTACATACAAGCTATTTCTTAGTCTCTGAGCTGTCCGATGGCCTTCAAGATATATATGAGAATAATATTATAACAAAAAAACATGTGAGATTTTACTCACGCAAATGATTAATGTAAGATTATGTAAATTTTACATAACACAACAACTTATGATATCATATTACAAGAAGTTAAATATAAAATAGACAGATTTTGAGTTTTTATTAATTTTTTTATAAAACTAACAAAAAACTGGTAAAATTGTATAATGTAAGATATATTAAAAATGCAAAATTATATAAGATATTGAAAAAACTTATCGATCTTTATTTAATTCATTAGTTTTATGTGACTTGTGCACGTGACTTATTTTTGCAAATCACAAAATTAATAAAATTATTCAAAATACAAATGTAAAGTCACGACAATAAGATTACATCACATGATTATTGCAAAATAAGTCTCATGGGATATTCCAAGTTTTTATCTATATCTGTATAGTTAATTTCAATATTACTTTCCTCATACTTATTATCTCGCTGACGTTTTAGAAAATGTCGATATTTTAACTTCTTATCACTTCCATTGCACTTCGTTAATTATTTCATATCGCTTTTGTACATGCTTATTGTCAGTAACTCATTTTTTTCTTTAACTCGATTTTTGTAATATAATTTTCTTTCTCGCTGCAAAAAAGCGCACACTTATTGGAAAGATTCTTATCAATTTCGATATAATTAGCATCAATTCAGCCACCATCTCATTTTGTGCGAATTTTATAAAACACAGACGCTCCAGATAAGAAGTGCTTCTCTTGCTTTTTAATACCTTACTTCTATAAATTCATATTTATAAGAGAGCTTCTTATAGATTTCAATATTATTAGTGTATGCCATTGGTATATTATTCCATTTGTATTATATGACATAAAATAGATGTTCCAGTCTTTTATCAATATCAATTTACTTGATTATTTCTAGTTGTTGTCACATTAAAATTATTACTACAACTATTATCATATAAAAAATGTATTATTTATTGATGTGCGTTATTTTCATAAAATCACGATTATTCATCGGCACTTTGTAAACTGCGTGCAAATACTTCTTGGAAGTTTACGTTCCAGGAAGTAGCAAGTTTGATCGGTTCAGTCCGGCGGTAAAGTGTGCGTCGTAAGTCAATTTAAGAGTTATATGTCGTGGAATTTTTCCGTGACGGACCAGATACCGCAAAAGGTGGCTAGCAGCGCGGCGAACACGAGCACCGCGAAGAGCTTCCGGCAAATATCGATCCACGCGAAAGGTGTTCATCCACAACACCTGCGCGACTTCATCGATCAGCGTTATCCATGCGTTTTAACATAAGCACGGCGCGAAATTGATGGAGCGTTTCGCGAACACCTAGTACATACACATAACCACATATTTCTATTTCCACCGCGGGAACTACTTTACACGTCACGTATGCTCAACGTGTTCATTGATTACTTCTACGTTGTTAGATTAATCAGTAGTTATAGAGTATGTCTGATTATGTACTTTTATTTTCTGGAACTAAACGCTCTGTGTTTTAGAAAGATTTTATAATTTTAAAACAGGTATACGTGGAAAATATTGTATCATAACATAAACAAGATGTGCCAAATCTAACAAGAAAAATAATGTAATCCTGCATAATTTATAATTTTTATATTCTTTACTTCTATTATATGCAATTTTTACATTATTAACGAAGAAACAGTAAATTATTTTTCCAAAAAATAATGCAGATATTCAATTCTGTATTCTTGCATAATTAATTGAGAAATTTACATTAATTACAAAGTGATATTATCACAAACAAAGTTCAATTTGAGCCGTTATTTCGAAACGTTAAAGCCCGATAAACCGCACAATTAACCACGTAATTACTGAATTTAACATTAGCAAGCGTATCTACACCAAGTACATAGATATCGACATTACGGATTAATGTGTCATATTCGCGGACTATTTCTGTCAGATACATATGAGCCGGCTTTATAGTATACTTTTACATTTCCAACAACGTACTATATATAGTAAATCTTTACAAATGCAGATAAAATCAGAATTTCCGGAAAAATCCTCTATATAAGCCGATACGATTAGTTATCAACTATGCTTTATTTGCATTCGCATACCAGACGTATCTCGCGCAATAAAAATATTGATCCGCGTTATCAGTATCACGGTATAATAACTAAACTTGAGTTTTTTTTATCTTTAACCATTATATCCTACTGAAAAAGATTTTTGAAGTTTTACATTTAAATCGAACTTTTGTATTATATTGAAAAATAAGTTCTGTATCATTTCAAATGATTCATTTATCGATGTATATAAGTATAAAACTTCAACATGAGTATAAAACCCGATTACAAGATAAACTCGAAAATAAAATAAAACAAAACGAAGATAAAATCGTGATTTACTGTAAAAAAAAGTAACTGTCGCTTACGTGATGATTTGCCTTGTTCGTACAATAAAATGGAATTGCGCAACGGAACATCTGTCGCGAATGCGGCGCGGTATTTCAAGGCGATAACGCGCGATCGGCCGTTGTGTCGAAAGAGGAGCATGCACACGAATAGTGAAAGGAACCTACCGGGGCAGGTAGACAGAATTTTACCGACCACACTGAATGACTGAATGACTGACTGACTGACTGAGGATGCTGAGCCCATGTTCCGCTTATATCGGCACGGTACCTCCGCATGCATTCCCCACCAGCGACATAAGCAAATAAGTCGAGAACAAGTATCTCGTAAATGATCACGCATCGACCGGTGACCGGATGACCGTGAAAGATGACGGAAAATTTTGAACTTGTAGCCCGCGTCGTCTATTTTTACGATTCCAGTTGCACACAAATCCGGCTTGTAGAAATTTAAAATAATAATTCGAAAAACGTATGAAATAACTGTCAGCTGCGTATTATAGATTTTTTATTAAAAATCAATATGTTTTATTAAAAATCAATAATGTCATTATTTTTTATTAAAAATCAATAAAAAATATTATGTAATAATGAATTATATTATATAATTATGTAGTATATTATGTAAAAATATAATGGAACTTTTTATACAATTAATAATGTGGGAAGTTGGCAATTGTTATTACTGTCAACAATAAACATTATTGGTTTTGGTCTAAACGCTATGCATATATGCATTGTAAGAAATGTTGTTATAACAATTAGAAAATAAAAAATAACAGTTAAATATAAAATAGGTAACACTGTATTTTGATTAACGCTCGATAAAAATCAAATTATGCAGCATAAAGAATTGCTTATTGCATAAAATCTTGGAAAACATCTTTGAAGTAATTATCGTAATAACTTCGTATTTGATTATAAGCAACGTATTTGATTATGAACAAGAATAGGAAGTACGAATTTAATATAAAAATAGCGAACGTGGTTGCCTTACTTATTGATCGCGGACATTTACGACGTAAATTTGAATGTGTTTATCGACTTGAGTTAGGAGCTTACGTTTGATTGGAGCTGACTCTTACAAGGAAGCCAGTAACGCGCTAACATACGTACCATTTAGATTAATAGGATAATAGTAAAGGATGTTAGATATTCACGAATGCCGCTCTCAGATCTGTTCAAGTCATCACCTGTAGTAAGTATGTCACTGGTGAACGTATACGAACTTGTGAGCGTCGTGAGCGCAAAATTAGCATCGTTAGCGACATGATATAACGCGTGAAAATACTGTCGAACTTTTAACCTGTCGCTTTCACATGTAAAATCAATCAGTTACTTGACAATTGGAAGTTGACATTTACGACATAATGGAGATACTTCATACGCAAATGGTTGGGTAGTCATGTAAATAGTGCTTGAGAATTTTTAACTTAATTCTAATGACAGATTTTATTGATTTATTTCTCATTTTTTACATTTTATTATTTTATTTTATTATTTATTTTCACTTTGGCAATTTGAAACCAATTATTTTGTAAAATGTTATGATATTTTCGAGGTCATTTTCGAGGTTTGTTTAAATATCAAAGGTTTTATTTGATTAAAAATCAAATTTATTTGATTGCAGGCATTTAATTAAAAATCTCTGAGGTTTCTTTTGTATAAAAAGCTGCGGATAAAAGAGAAAATATGATATTTTCTAGATGAAAAAATAAAATTAAAAACGTCACAATATTCTGCTAATAAAAAAATATTTATTTTACGGATGACGACAAGAATACTTATAAGATTTTACGCAAATAAGAAAAAAATAGCGCAATACTGTATTTTTCTTTGCAATGCAACTATTTTTACTTTTTTTTTTTTTGCGCAATAGAAAATGACAGGCTTTGCCTCATATTGCTCAACTTATTGCATCGACTAATAGATAATTAGCAGATAATTAAAACCGCAATGCATAATGCATGTGTGAATATCAGAATCAATTGATTAACATTCTACTTATAATTCCGCAAAACAGTGGAAATGTATTCTTTCGCATTAACATTATCATTTATGTGAGGCAAAGTAGAGGTGAATTCAAAGACAACACGTAACGATAACATAGACTAGTTTGTTATCACATAATTATCGTGCTAAAATGAACGTACAAGTCATTAAGTTATTATCAGAAATAATACGCCTCTTATTTCTCAACAGTACTTGACGAACTATGACTAATATAATTCTCGACAATCTTTTTGCAACTAATCGCGCATAACAATGTCGTAATATACTCGAACCATCTCAGAAATAATTTATTAAATCTATTATTGTTCAATATTTTTCTATTCTTTGAATTCTATTCAATGTTCTACGAATTTTTCTAGTTTCTAATGAAATATATTTTCCATATTTGCTATTTTTGTGATAGCTGCATTTTTTATTTCCAGAATAAAAAATATGAGTATTAGAATTTTTCAAAAAATATATTAAATTTAGAATATACATTGCGCACTTTGGGAAAACAATAACAAATTTTATAAAATATAATTAAAATTAAAGAATAATAAAGTGCAACGAGATACCAGGAAAGTTTTAATTGCCGCTTTATAAGATTTTAATATTTCATGTACATACTATAATTTTTTAATTGTAATTTTTAGAAATCACTTATCAATCTCTTAGATTTGCTATAGCTAAATGCTAAGTTTTATTATAAAATAAATGTTATACGTTTGAATACTAATTGATAAGAAAGTATTGCCGAAGCGATCGGTATCGATAGATATTATTGTTGTTACATCTGGCGAAAATCCGAATGATCGAGGTATATTTTCGAATGAATCGAACGAGATTGATGGACGTTTACAGTGCATCCCGGCGAAGTGGGGATAATTATGCTTGGGATTGAAGTCTCTTTTGTATGCTTGGATCCTCTTTATAAAGAAAACCGGATATTGCATTTGCAGAGCTCTGATTGGCAGCTCAGCTACGCAGTAACGTTTCGCACAATTGGAACTTTGTAATTATTATTTCCGGCTAAATGCGTATATAGACAGAAAATTTAATTAACGACGCTTCCGCAACGTAAAAAAGCTGGAAATGTCGCTTGCTGACTAGATCCGATATCAAACTGAACTGTAAGGGAAAATGAAAATATCGATAATTTATACACGCGCCATGCCGGGAATTGCCGTGATTGTGAATTTTAATGGAAACATGTAATACTCAATTAGTCCAAAACAAGCGTATAATTAACAGACATCAAAGAGTACATTTCAAGAGTAATTTTTTATTTACAGTGTGACGTATTTACTCTCGATTTATTGATTTCTGACTGAGACTGACTTATTATATTTTAATGGAGAAATAATTTTTTTATATTATTTTTTTATTCAACATTAATTTCTGGTCTTTTAATATTTTTCTTTCGTGTGAAATTAATAGCAGTAAGAATATAATTAATAATTATAATTAATTATTATATTTATATTTTTTCACGCGAATAACGTAATAACTTTATGCTTGTTATGAATTACGCCTATCGATTTTATATGCCTCATAAGGAAAGTTTAAATCTGATCCAATACTCGTGCTATTATGAGAAATTTATCCTCGGAACATTATGATTGATGTAATATAATGCCTGTGCAAAATTGATCGGAAATTGCGTGCGCGCGTAATATTCACACGCAATCGTTTAACAATTACAAGCAGTTTAATCTCGAAAATAGCGGGCGTGTTAAAGATATTCGCTCCGACCGTCGTGATACATTGTAAAAATAAAAAGACACGCGACTTCTTATAAAACGTCCACGTCGAATGTTAATGTAGCTGTCGCTCACAAGGAACGACGCTAGACAAGTTGCAGATCAAAAATAAGAAGAGAACGAAATATCTTGCGCTCGACGCGAAGATTATGATACGATTTTTATTCCACGATTGAATGATGAGAAAAATGTTTTGCCCGAGCATTTTTGTGTCCCGTTGAGAGATATCGAGATAACAGCTTTCAAGCCGTGATATTCTAGCACCTTTTTTTAAATCTTAAGAATGTAAGCAAAAATGCTTTTGGAAAACAGATCGTGCCATTTTTGTACTTATGGAGTAAATAATGCAATATTTTGCAAAAAAATTTACATATTATTCAAATCATCAAAATTTCTGAAATACTAAAAACGCATGTAAAAATTTAATAAGAAATATTACTATATTCATATTATCTTAATAAAAAGGTCAATCATAATTCGTGATATTGCAAAATGTTTCTAAAAATAATTATTCAACTTTGTTAAAAATATGAAATCGAGTGTACATGTTGTTTTAATACGACGAGGTTTTTTTATCATCGGAACAAGTATCTCACGTTACATTACAGTGTAACGTGCGGCGTACAATGCCGCTTAACAATAAACGTTTCACATAATAAATAAGTCACTGAGATAATAGTCGTGACTTTACACATTTGCTTGATATTCTCTAATGTGAGTCAACTGTCGTAAATCTAATATTCATGGCAAATCTGAATAATTGAATAATACTCTAAGGAATCTCTAAGTTTTTAAATATGTTTTAAATACATAATTGAAGAATGTTATAGAAAAATTTTATTTGATATTTAAATGTTTAAATAATACAGTTTGATATACGTATAGCAAAATTAATTTATTGGTTAAATAAAATATAAGTAATATTATTGATTGCATTAATATGTTATTTTTCAAAGACGATATGCAAAATATTGAAATAAAAAAATACAATAAATAAAAAGAAACAAAAAATTGAATTTGTAATTTTAATTGGGACGATGCTAATTTGATTCGGTTTTATATTATAAATGATTTTATATATAAAATATATATATACAAATATATATATATATACATATGTATATGTATATTTCATGCGTTTATCTTTATCTCATAAATTCTTAAGGAAAACCAAAGTTGACTGTTAATGATAGTTTATGTAATTGTTTTAATATTACAAATGTAAGTTTATGTTAAGAATATAAGTACGTGTAATTCTTTATTGGATTGCAACATTGCATAAATATAAATATACCCAAATAAAAATGAAAGCAAATAATTAGATCATCTATGTTATTAATACTCGCTTTCAACATACTTGATATCTCGTAAACATCCGTGAAAAATGTAAATAAACGAGCTTTCGTTAAAATTAACAGAAGTCTGTTACATATCCCCAAAATAATCGAGTTTTGCTGTAGAAAAGTTGAAAATTCGTAACGATCTTCTAATTAATTTCATAGAATTTGTTATTATGAGAACAGCATGAGTCAAGCTTTTTATAAATGAATCACATATTGATGTTTTAGAAGAATATTTTTTCAAGCTTAAAAATACACGATAATCAATAATTTATAGAACGCATTTTATCCATCCATTCATAATAATCTTCAGAAAAAAAACATATTTTAAAACTTTTTATTTTTTTTTAAATTAACTAAACAACATGCTAAAGTTTTTATTACGTAATAAAAAATTTAAATACATACAATAATTAAAAAATATCTAAACCGTATTTCTGTAATTATTTTTGAGAGAAATTGCTCCAATGTTTAATAGCAAGTATTGCAAAACAACCGCCAAATTTTTGCGCAAAATATATTTATCAAAATAATTTACTGTTGTCAATATATCACTTTTTCCTTCTGATATAGATATTAGAGCAATCAATAGCTCCCCCCTCTTTAAATTCCTTCATCAATTCATGGAAACGCATGCATATGTGTACCGTTTGCAGTCGATCGATTAAATTCTTCCGCATGGATTATTTGATAAACTTAGAAAAAAAAAATTGTTTTCCTACCTTGTGAAGATTCCGCTGGATTTTCCACGTGACTGAGAACTCGTTCACTGCAGACAGCTACGGATGCGACACTGCTTTTCCTCAATATTGCCTTCACTCCGTGACGTACACTATCGACGCACACTCGCGTGGATCGCACGACTGAAAGCGTCGAGCATCGACTGCGTCTTACAACGAGGAAACTTGGAGAATCGTGCACGAAAGAGAGACGCGAGTCTCACGAAAGAGGAGAATGACGAGAGAAGAGAGTCGCTCTCTCGCCGTCGCTTGCCGCCGTTATCGCGATTACGCGAGTTTAATGCCGGTTCCTTTTCAGAGATGTGGCACTCGCGCGTATACTTGATCGGTCGTCGACCTCAAAAGATCCCCTCTTAGAGCTCACGAAGGACCTCGATCTTCTCTTCGGCAACGGTGATGCAACTCGCGAAAAATTTTGCGAGATGCTCATCTGTCGGCGAACTGCCTGGAAAAAGCGATAAGCCATAAGCGAACGTCGTATGTTATCTTTTTTAAAAACGTGGAAGTTTCCATGCATTTTTGTTTTCTGATAATACTCAAGGCTTATTCTTATCTGTTGTTTTGTACAACAATGGGAAAAATAATGAACGCTTTACAGGCAAAATAACAAAGTTATAACGATAATAAGTAAGCGCAATATCAACGAAATCGGATCATCCTATTTTCTCGAATTAAAGATTTAGAAGTTGCAATTAATTTTTCAGTATAAAATAAACGAATAAATTTCGATTGTAACATACAAAATGTCGATGAAATACGTTTTTTAAATACACCACTCAATAGTAAACAATTAACGAGTTAAATGTTAAGGGAACAGAAAAAAGTATGACAAACGTACACGTAGCACTGGTTGAAGGAAACTGAAACCTATAGAAAGCAGCTATGACATTCGTCATTCTTGGACGGATTGCTCGCACATACCTATGCGTACACCTTGTCTTATCTCCCCTCTCCTAAAATGTTAGCCGTTGTTGGCATCAAGGTTTCACAGGCCTTGTGCATTAGTTTATAGCCAGTCTATATGTCCCGATCGAATCGCGTTACTCTATAACACTTTGTGCAGATTGTTCTACTTCAAGAAAACGATGCAACTTTAGCCTAAGCACAAATATCATAAACTAAAGACTGTTATTTTCTATGTGACGAGAATCAATCATTTTTTGTTATTTTATTTATAAAAAAAAATCCTTAAAAAATTAGTTTCTAGCCAGTATGGAAAAATTCTAAACCATGTACTTGTAATATATCATAATGAAAATTTAAGTCGTAATTTGCATTTCGTATTATATCATTTACTAAAAATATTTCCAAAGTGCCTACAGTCACATAGAAACAATCCATAAAAAGAAATAAGAACTTTTACAGACATAAAAACTTGACATTTTGAAAGATTTAAAGCAGACTGACAGTACGGCGATTGATTCAAACAACGGTAATTATTCGCCAATGGCAAACGCGATGATTGACAAGGTTCTCTTGCACAAGAATCCACGTCGATTAACGTGAAACGCGAACCGCTGTTCCGATGCCGTGATTCTTTTCATTGATACAATCCACTATGATGCGGTGTCTGTAATGATAATAAGTAACATATAAAAGATAGTAGATGTACACGGTATGAAACAAAGTTATGACGCACTTTTGCAATTTGCCGCCTTGATCCTGTAGATTTCTCCGCTGTAAGATACAGATTACCTTGAATATTTCGAGATGCGAGCCTCAAACTCTGCTGTCAGCTTTGGAACACACATCGAATATTGAATTATCGAATATCTTTGAAAGTAAATCTCGTCAGACAACGCTATGCCGTGCAGAGATGAATATCATTTCGATGTACATAAAATTTATCACTTGTCATATGAATAGAGAACTTATGATTATGTATTATTATCCTTAAACATTATGAAGCATTATGATAGCATCTCAGAATTTACATAGAACTTATATTTCGAGATTTATCAGCAGAAATATTAAATTTATAAAGATTTACATATTACATTAATTTATTAATTTATAAATAATTAATTTTCAAATATTACTAAAATATGAAGATATTACTTTATTAATTTCATTCCGTTCTCTTATTTTCAAATAAGAAATATTATATACTAAAACTCTCACATTTGTCATTAATTAATCAATGATCGCTTTACTGAGGTTAGCCACAGTCATTATTGTTCTTTTTTTAAAAATATTTCAACAATTTTACAACATTTTTATACCGTTTTTTATTTTGTACCGTTATTAAGAAGATTAAAAACACATTCCATTAGTGTTACTAGCGGTTAAATATTGCGGCATTACCTTTTTATGAGTTAATGGCAAGATTCTTGACATTCGCACGGCACTTCGTCGACAGATGCTAAGGTCGTTCGACGGAATTTGTTTGCAATTCGAATTTTGCCAAGTAATATGTTCGGAACGTTTCTGAGCGTCAATAGAATTGCACTTCCCAATACCAAACGAGACTACCTTGAAATGGTCCTATTTCTATCCGGCCGTGCTTGACCTACACTCGTATGTATAGAACCTCCACCTCATATTACTCCTTGATCACTCTTCCTACTCCCCGTCCCTTTTCGTCTCACTGTTCCTCGTTATTTTCTACGTACGAGAGACTTTTATCGTCGCGCATAATCGTAAATCATTGCTTTAATGCGATTAAAAATTCGCAACGCAGCGCGTCGCCCGACGCACTGCGTCGCATCACTTTCTGGGAATATCATATCAGCTTATGGCATCTCGGAATTAAAGGACGATCCCTCGCGGATCGTTAGCACGCACAATAAATACGCGTTACCGCGATTCCGCGCGGCGCCGTTCGGTTTTGCGCATGCAAATGCGAATGATTATAATTACACACGCGAAACTCGCATACTGAACGTTCGGAATGCTCGGAGAGAAGCCGTTCAATGTGAAGCTCGATCGTGTCTTACTATTGTATGACTACTCCACCGAATACGTTCCGGCGAAATTTAAGCACTGTTATCAGCAGTGACGAGAATGAATCGATTAATATTCATGAAGGTGTCGAATTTTAATGAGATTTATTAGCCTTTTGTAATACAACTTAAGCACATTGTTAACTTAACAATACTAATAAACTTTATAATTAGGTATTCTAGATAGCGGAGTTTACAAAACTTCCAACCGCTTTTCGCAAAAATCGATCGCATTAAAATGTCATTCTTTCACGCAAATTTCATTCTTTATCCAAAATATAACAAATATCATAATTAAAACGGGTTCATCAAAATTAAATGATTACTCAATCTATATGTTTATTTCTATAATTAAAAAAATAAACACATAATAATTCTCGTCTTTAGAGAAAGAAACTTGGCGTACATCAAGACGACAATTAGCGATCCTCTATCGATCTATTATTATCCTGTTAATAACATCCTGCGTGTGTATCTTCATTCCTGTTAAAAAATCCCGTGTCATTCGGGTCGATTACCGTCCTCCACGGCGAGCGGAGTTCGCACAGCAACCATCAGCGTTCCGGTTGGATAATCGCGAAAATTGCGCGTCCCGGTTTTCACAGTTTTTCGCACTCGCCTCGCGTTACCTAGATGACTGGTCGGATTAGCCCGCGGTATCAACGGAATCCAAGCGATCCGTCAGCCCGGAGCAAGCGCGCCCGCGGGCACATCTCGCTTTCACTCGGCTGGTCTCATGCGCGCGGGCCACGTGCACAGGACTGCACATTACACGATACATTGAGCCGATGTATCGAGCTGACGCGTTCAAGAAGCGGGAGACGAACCGGCAACCGGAGGTTTTCGCGTTTGCATTTGTCCGATCGGATCGGGCTGGCGGCGGTGTTAGTCGCGCCTCGTTAAATTGATATCGCTCATCCGTGATCGAGACCCCCTAGTGCCCCGAGCTTGGCATCCAAGTACAGCCTCGTCGTGACTCGTCGATGACGTAACGCATAAATACACGCCACGGGGGAATCGAACCGGCGGCTTTTTCTTCTTCTTCTTCTGCTGCGCCGAGTGCAGTCTTCGAAGAGCGGCGGTCCCGAAAGCAGCAGCTCCCTGATCGGTACGGCGCGCGAGATCGTTATCGTGAGAAGTAGATGAATCTCGAGCTGCCAGATCTCGTTGCGATCGAGCCGAGAAGGAGGAGGTAGTACAGCAAGAAGGAGAAGGAGGTGCTGCAGCAGGTCTCGAAGACGCCGTCGAGTCCTGGCCGTCAGATCCGCTTTATCCTTCGATCGACTTGGAGGATTTCTCGCGAGGATCAAATCGCTGCTAATCTCTCCGGTTCGCTTACGGCACTCTGGCTCGCGAGATGTGGCGGCTGTCGATAGTGATCGGTATGATTGCGATCGTGAGAGCTGGACCGTACGATAGGATGGCGGTTTCGATGAACGACAGGACGCTGTTCATCAGGAGCCTGCCTGGTTATCCTGGGACCAGGAGTGATCTCTACGAGGTCTACATGGAGCCGTACTATTTCGTACGTATTTTTTGCCGATTTTTTTTATCAATATTTCAAAAATTTTCTCATTGTTAATCGGGAAGAAGGAAGTAATTTTATAAATAATTATATGATTTTATATATGTAATACGGAAATAATATATATTTTCTATAATTATAAAATATATTGTAACTGTAACTCTAAAGTTATTGGCAATAATTTCAAAGAATATTTTTAGCCCCTATTTTTCTCTCTCCGTAGAAAAATTTTAGATGACTCCAACCTTTAGAACTTTAAAGTAATTAAACTCTTTATTTTACTTCAGAAATCTTGATTTTGATCAAATAATTGCCTCGGTAAACTCTTTCACTTTTTACAATGCATTGTACCAGTTTCACGCGATCTCTTTTAAAAGTTACGTAATCTTGACAAAGAGATGTGTGCGAAGGTGTATTTAGCACACTTATACTTTCACTTTTTCCCTTCTCTTAAGTTTTAACAAAATTGAAATTATCTTTTAATTTAATAATTCTTGAAATTAATTTATATTACTTAAATCTAACGTGTAATTATGTTGATAAATACGTTATTGTCATTGAATCTTAATGTTTTCAGTAATCTATATTGTCATACGTCTAGCCTTACGTGCTAACGATAATAACAGTTATAAGCATCATCCTCGAGTGTCATTAAAGTAACAATCATTTGTCACCTGACAACTTACTCGCAAGATAGTACAACAGAATAATAATGCAGTAATTTATTCGTATCTGCATATAAGGCAAATCAAGGAAAGACAGTTGCGTTAACTCATTTTTATAAACATGTGTATGTATACTTTATTCAAGCTATGATGATAACAAAAAGAAGCAACACAGAAACGTACATAGATAATTCAAAAGCGAGCGATAATATTTATATTTCTTCTAATCCGATTTTTATAGATGTTTTGCGGAATTTTAATGAATCTTTTTATTTTTTATGAAAAAAATGAACAGTTGCATTCATTCTTGTTAAGAATCGATGGTGCACTATTTTAAATTTTAATCGAAGATTTTTGCCTATACTGATTTACATCACTCTTCTCCTTCGTGTACTTCGTATAAACATTTGCATGCGCGTGACTTCTCCATCTTCCGCGACACCAAGGCGAACGTGGCGATAGAATTCAACGGTCCATCCAGCGTCTCCATTATTAGTCATTAACCGCACAGTCCATATTTAATACGCGGAAATTTGCACAATTAGCAATTAAGTTATTTAAATATCGCGAAGGACGTCGAGTGATGCGCACCGCTACCGCGAGGACGCTTTCACCAGTGTCACTTCGCGTGCATTTCTAAGCAGCGATTCCCTTTGGCCGACCTTGCGGGTAGTTTTCTAGCTCCTTCATCGTCGCCGTAGATTATACCCCGGCTGCACCGTAATTGCGGATTTTGCCCGTGAACTGCAACCTCACTTTAAAAAAGAAGAAGGGACTCGACGTTCATGCGAAGCGCGAGGTAAATCATAGCGCGACTAATGCAATTCAGTAGGCAGATTAAATCAGATAGGAAGTACCGTTCGAGTACTTTATAGTGTATCATTCGATACGTGGACGCGAATCATTATCAATTTCCGGTCTTCGCGTTCCTGCGGGACTTTGCTCGCGCGGCTGCATTTATGGATTAATCGAGCTGTAACAAATTGCTTCCGTAGATCCTCGATTGCGTAGATTTTCGTTCCGCGAAATTGCAAGTTGATGGATCGTCAATGCAACGGATCGTGAGATCAATAGAAAATTGATCTACAGATTCTTAAAATATTATACTTTATACATAGAAAATATACTAAATAAATTCTGCCATATTTGTTTAAAAATAAGCTTCCAATGCTGCTATATTTGTAATATCGTGAAGAATCAACAAAAATAAAATCTATAAAGTTCTACCGAAATATTAGCTTTTAAAATAAATGCAATTTTTTCTTTAAATTGTTTAGCCAATTGGTTTGAAGGCCGTGACGGAGCTGAAAGCCCTCGGTGAGGATGGCTTGCCGATGAACGGACCCCGAGGGGTGCTAACGCTGGAGCAGCATCCCGAAGGGGTCAGGGTTACGGGCACAATCGAAGGTTTAAGCCCGGGCTTTCACGGATTCCACGTACACGAAAAGGGGGATTTGAGGAAAGGTTGCAATTCGGCTGGCCCGCATTTCAATCCGTACATGGTAAGCATTGCATTACAATTCTAAATTATGCGCATCGCAATCAGTAGTGGAATATATTATCGTATAAATATTTCTTAACAGCATTCCAAAATGTAGCGCGATAAAGCATTTGTTACAAAAATTTATTGCAAAATTATTACAAAAATTTATTACAAATTTATTACAAAATTATTCTTATTATGCCAATTATTGTACGAAAATTATAAAGTTAAAAGCATTGCGATTTTTGCAATAAGATAGACAGTGCAAGTTTGTGAACCGCGTAAAATATTTTCAACACAGAATCATGAAAAATTTATCCGAATTTTTTTTTTTCTTTAGTTATCGCTTTTGTAACAATCTCTAATGAGACAAGATTTACATTTGCAAAAGAAAGATTCGACGTATAAGTAATCGACCTATTTTCTTCAAGACTTAAGGACATCAATTTGAAAGTCCGAGAAATTAAATTGAGATAAATTTTTTTATACATTCTTAAGCTACCGGATTATCGCCGTATTGAACTCTTTAAATGCAAATGCAACACGATTAAGAGAAAATTGATAGCTCCGCACTTAATGGATTGACTCGTCGTCGATCTTTCGCCGATAACGTATTACCTTTCCATTCCATTACAATAATCGAGGAGCGATTACGTTTCAGGTGAATCACGGAGCGCCGAGCGATCCGTTACGTCACGTTGGCGATCTCGGCAATATTGAGGTCGGGCAAGACGGAGTGGCGCATATCGACGGCATGGATCATTACTTGAGCCTGGTGGGTGTTCGAGGTGCGATCGGCAGAGCCCTGGTTGTCCACGCAAAACCCGACGATTTCGGTCGCGGCGGAACCGATGAGAGTCTGAAGACCGGATCGGCGGGCTCCCGCGTCGCCTGCGGTGTCATTGGGTTTTTGTAAATAGCGAATTCGGCTGTTAGATGCATTAAAAATTGTCGCACTCAAATTTACATAAAAGCATAATATGCAAAATAAAAAGTGAATTTGATAAAATTCTTGAAAATTAATTACTTGTTATCTATTTAATTCGTTGTATTTTTCAAATTAATTATTTTGATAACAATATCTCAAAAATTTGAAATCTGTCATCAATTAAAAACTATTCATGTAGAAATTTATGTAATTAAATTTGTATATAATTGCCTGTAGGCTCAACCAGTGCGCACTAGTGCATCCAATTAAATTCGCTGAAAGAGATATTGCATGCCGCAACTTCAATACTAATTTAATTGCGCCCATTTGTACCAAACAACAAATCATAAATGTAATCGAGCATCTGTCGAACATGACATTTTATATGTAAACTTAAAAAAAATGTATTTTAAAAAATAGATCACTTCTATTACAAAAAACTAGAAATATTGTTTTAAATTCAGCAAAATTTCTTTGACATACAAATACAGCTGGAATGAACTTTTTACCTTAACAAAATTTGAGCGCTTGAAAATGAAGCCATGTACATCGTCAATATGTGATCAATCAAAAATTTAATAGAATTTTGATACAAAAAATCCAATTCAGAGTTTGAATCAAGTTTGTCAAAACGTAATTTTATTGTAATAGCTTTCATCGTCAATATATTTTTTTGATTAAATAAATTCGCCAATGCGACATAGTCACAATATACAATCGCTTATTTAAAAAAAAAATCAATAATAAAAAAATTTTGATGAAAAATCTCTGAGTGTTTCAAACATCGTACGTCTGTTTATTTCTATACGCACACACAATATCACACAACTATGACACGACTTAATATCACAAATAAAAAAAGAAGAAAAATAAAATCATGAAACAAAACATTGAATATTTTACACGGACGGATCATATTCCTCCCAAGAATGTACAAATACAAGAATTCAAGAAGTCTTTGAGTTAAAATCTGTGAGTTAAAATCCCAAAGCCGCGTGGCAAATCCTTCAACTTGGCATTCTCGGATGCAGATGTTCCACAGATTTCGCGTCCTTTTTTGAATCCGCGCGTTTCATGTCGATTGCTGGCGGTTCCACAGGCTCGCCCATTTCTTCCAGGGCCCGTAGCATTTTGGTCACCACTTCCGGCGGCGAGGTCCTTCTCGCACCTGGCGTGTCCGGTCGGTGTTGAAGGTTGTCCTGTCGTACTTGCCGAATATGTAGCCCGAACGTTCGCGGCTGGAAATGTACTGCGAGGACGTTGAACCGTCCGTTTGACTGTTCTATATCTCGCCGTGGCATAAGCCACGCCGGGGTTAGAATATCGATTGATTCCGTCCCGGATTGCGCCGCGGCATCAAGAGTGTGCGATGGTGAAGTCGGTCAACGACGATTCTTAATGTTGTGAAAAATAATCGCTCGTAGAATCTTATATTTCGATAATATATCTTTGATATACGCGTATAATTTATCTCTTTAGATGCGTCTTGAGATTATTATAATTTTCTCACAATTTTTTCTCTTGACCAATTTTACTGACATAAAAATTTTATATTCTGTTTTAATAAATTATAAAATTAACATAATTGACAAATTAAATAATTTATTACTGTTCCAATAATAGCGTAATTTAAACTTTCGCATTTTTCGCATTCTGATAAATATTGGATTTTACGTTGCGTAATGTAATTCATTTGATATCGAAAACTTTATATTTTTATACGTATTATAAATTACATAATCACTTTGCGTTCTCTCTAACCACTTTACTATGCGGCAAAATAATATCGCTTTTCGCTATTGCGAGTTAAATTGCTTTTATGGAAACGCACTACTCGTAACCGCGGCGCAGGAATGATTATCGTTACATTACTAGGAACATCCTGAACGTCGTAATCCGGTACGTCATCCAGATCCTCTACATTGAGGTTATTACGACCACATCTAATGATGAATTGTATGCAATCGATTATTAGCTTTTTTGATGACCTCCACATAATCGCACACGAACATTTTGGGATAGATTGCCGGGCGAGATATGACGACGTATAAGTTACATTGTCACGAGTTATCGTGGCTTTGTGTCACGTAATAAATGTTGACAGAAATGGTTAGATGAATACACGATTGTATGCATGTATGTTGAAGTTCGTTAATTTTGTAACAAAAGCAAACTTAATGCGGCTTAATATACATTTAAATGTAAGATTTGATAGAACACTCTGTGCTTTTATCAGTATTTTTTTATTCAGAAGATCCTCACAATATTTAAATTACAGAAAAATTCCTAGTCTTCTAATATAATCGAGTTGTATTACAATGCCATTTTACGATGTTAATATAAAATAAGTTTAATTTGTACTAGCACGATTTTGGATACAATTCCATTTCATAAACATGATTTGTAACTCTGCTTTTTTTAAGAAAACTTAATACTGTTATTTACTGTTACAGTTTGCCCAATTAATCTAATTTGGAAAATTTAAAAATTTGAAATAAATTATGTGTTGAAAAAATTATAGCAAGTATAAATTCAACTTTATTGTTTAAAAAAACAAATTTTATTTAAACTTTTTTTGAGTATATAAAGAAACTGAATAATATAAGAATAAAATATCGGAATGTCTGTATCTGTAAATTTCAATCTGTAGATATTACATCTTAAAATTTAGTGTAACAGCTATATCAATGACAGTTTCTTGTCGATACATCTTGATAAAATTAGTAGAGAATAATGAGATAATCTTGTAAAAATAGAAAGGTTTGTGTATTGAATATTTGTTTGAAATACACTGAATGAAACTATCGCCTGCCTCTCCCTCTACCTCGACCACCTCTGCCACCTCTCCCGCCCCTGGCACCACGTCCTCTGCCACGTGCCGCACCTGCACGCAAATAATAATTAATATATATTATAATATATATTATAATATATAGATAACTATATATATATACCTCTTGCAGCTTCCTTCTTTTTAGCTTTAGCTTTTGGTGTATCGTCTATCAGCAAGGTTTCCAAAGGAAGAGAATCGGGTAGAATGTAGTATCTAATATTATTTCCACGTACACTTAGAGTTTCTAGCTGTATGGGATCGCGATTCTTTATTGTCATTTTCACTGTTTTTAAATGTGTGTTCATTGCCACATCAACACCTATAAAAAAATAAAAATTGAATTCTTGTTCCTTAATAATAATTAGTATCAATGTTCAGTTGATGTTATTAACCACTTCCAATTAATAATAATTGGTATAATTTTGTTACTATAATAATTATTAAAACTTTAAAATTATATATTAAGCTAATCATTAATCTAGACATTTGTGTGTGTACTTGTTTGTATACCACAAATAAACCTCAATTTAACCTAAAATTTGTATCACATACCTGTAATCGTACCAGTAACTTGAGTCCCATTTTTCAATTCTATCGTTACAGTCTCGTGACTGAGTTTCATCAAAAATCTGTACACAAAAAGACGTTAATTTTTTCGAAAAATAAAGTTTTTGCATGAAAGTGTTTGATGTATAGGTTAAGTACAAGAACAGTTTGTATATATTCAGATATTTTCACAGATAAGTTGCTATTTTTTTTTAAATTTAATTTTTTTATAATATCTTGTTTAATTCTGTAATCTTTTGAATATATTTTACGTACCTTACTAGCTTCATAATGCCGCTAGATTTACTATTTAATATCGGGTGAATAACGCTGCCGGCGAAATAACATCACCTCTATAGTAGAGGCTCTACTTCAGTTACGCGCTACAATCGGCGCTGCGTTCGGTAAACCATATTGAATGACGCGTCTAAGCGTTCCAAAATGCACAGAAATATCACTAATTGTAAATAAAATTTTCACACATTAGAAATATTAAAAAAATAACATAAAAAGTATATAGATTTATATATAAACTATAAATTTTTTAATAATAAATAATAATACAATTTTTGCTAAATTTTTTTGCTGCAAGGTTTTCATCAGATGCTTATCAAATTTATAACAAAAATATAAAAAGAAAATTTTTCATTTTTTTTATTATTTCTTATATTAGGCATAACTAAAACAGTATTATAGTAGAGTTCATCATATATGTACAAGATAATAACAATCAAACGTACTAATGACTTTAGTCTTGTCAAAAAATATATTAAAAAAATTACACAGTTATACAATGTTCGTGCGCTTTTGTGTTGATTTGCTTCAAGATAGTTGCCATTCTTCCACCTGAACCTACATCAAATGTTCGCGGAAAGGCTGTTCCCTCAGGTCTGTTGTATAGCATCTGCATAGTCTGCTCCCATCTCACAGGTGACACAATTTGTTTCGGTAAGTGTTTCATAATTAATGTCTTACTGTGATAAGCATGCCCCTTGTAATTAGAGTAGACTTGACATCTTGGTTCATCCAGTGTCAATGAGTGAAGCATTTTACCAAAAGATTTGAGTGCGGGTTCCATCAGTTTTGTGTGAAATGCTCCTGACACAGGCAATCTGGTTAGCTTGCGAAGTCCGTACTTATCTGCATTTTTTTCTATGTACTCGAGAGCTTGAATATTTCCGGCCAGTATCTTTGACTGAGTATAAAGATACACTGCTACCCTAAAAAAGTATAATTCTCTTAATAGTTGAAATGATATCTTAATTATTTATAAATGCATGAAGTGATTCTTACTCGCAAACTGGCTGCTCTATACCATTATCTCGCGCCCAATTCTGAGCATTCTTGCATATTTCCGATATTCTAGCTTGCGGAGTACAGTAAACTGATAGCATTCCTTGAGGCAATTTCTCAGAGGCGTGTTGCATAGCCGCACCTCTGACAGAGACTAATCTAATGCCATCTTCATAAGATAAAACTCCTGAGAAGATTAAAGCAGTCAGTTCTCCTACACTATAGCCTGCAGCTGCTTTACACGTCTCAAATACTTTTGGTCTTTCTTCGCGGAGCTTCTCCAATGCAGCCAATGAAGTCACCACTGTGGCAGGCTGGTTGAACCTTGTCAAGTTCAGCTTCTCCTCGGGACCCTTCAAACATAGCTTCAACAAATCATAGTCCAGAATCTCGTTGGCTATCTCGAACAATTCTCTGGCCTGAGGAAATTGCAAATATTTTTTAACTGCGCCGACTTTGATGGTACCTTGTCCTGGAAAAAGCACAACACTAGTTTCTAACGGATTGATCTTTGGTTTCACAGCTTTCTCTTCCTCGACGGAAGTTGGGACGCCGACTGGATAAGGGCTCGTCGCCCAATTCGTGTCCTTGGCATCGTCGTATGTTGCTGCTTCTTTTACAAGACGAGCAACGTTCTCCTCGCCGGAAGGAATCCCAGTGTCGCTCGTGAAAGATTTATTTTGCGATTCGTCTAAGTTCGATTGATTATCCTTCTCATCTTTCGTGACAGTGGAATCGGAGAATTGAGTTATCCGGCTTGAGGTTAACAAACGAGACAGGCAAGGAACGGTTTTACTGGATAGAGTTCGTCGAAGCATCGCTACCGACGAAAACATGCTGACATGCTAATTCAAAATATGTAATTTGAACTACGCTTTATTTGTACTATCAGTTTGCGTTTGTTTATTACTAATTTTGAGGTTATAAATTGTGACCACAGTGTGATCACCACACGTGTCGTAGCTGTTTATATGTCAATAGCTCGCATTTCAATAGCTCGCACTTTGACACTTCGCATTTCGATAGCTCGCACTTCGATAGCTCGCACTTCAATAGCTCGCGCTTCAATACTAAAATTACACATTATTTCAACACAACTGGATACATAATGTATTTTTGCAAAAAAAAACATGATATATTTTTGCAATGTAACTTGCAAATGTATTCTTTTATATCTACGAAATTTTAATACTTTGTCAACAGGGAATATGCGCTGATATTTTAGCCTACAACGAGTAAATTTAGCCGCGCACATACTAAAAAGGAAAATTATGCGTTCTTTTAATAGATTTATATCCATATAGATGTGTAGTTTTACGCATCTCATCGACAGAACATTAATACTTTATCAAATTCTATTATTCTATTATTGCACAATCTATTGTTAAGTTACATTTTTTGCAGACTTGTTAAATTTCTAACTAAAAGTTTGCTAACATTATTTTAAATATAATAATTCTATTGCTTTTATTATTTTTTTGTTTTGCTAATAAAATTTGCAACAGACACTGTAACTTAATCTACGATTTATAAGTTTGTAATTTTTCAATATTATTTTGTAACTTTGTGATCGGTATGTATTTTTTATTAAAAATTAAAAGTAATTTTAACTTTTAAATAGTAAAATACTGCTAATTTGTTAATTTGTTAAATACTGTCTAATATATGTTAATTAAATATGTAATTTAAAAATATTATTTAAAAATATATGTGAAAGTAATATTATTTACAGATAAACTTCCTTTCAAGCTATCTTTGTTAATAGATGGCACAAGGCTACCGACGCTAATAGTTATCGTTGTAAATACATTTCAAGTTCATACTTTTCTGATTATTCTATTCCGTCACAATCTGTGATTTATAGTAAGTAAACCAGGGTATGGTGTCAATGATATTGTTGCAAAATAATTATACTGTTTCATTTCATGCACACAGATGTTTAAAATTAGATTACAGTAATTGATCTATAAATAACAGTAATAATGATCGTATTGTAATATAATATACAGATATAATATACAAAAAATCCTTAATTTTTAAGCATCTAAGAGAACCGATACACAAATCATAAGGATTTCAATTTTTAATTCTAATATTTACGAATCCACTTCTTTCACTTAAGAAATCATTGCCGTTTTTCAATGTCAATACGTTCACAAAGTAGCACGAGGACAAAGCGCACTTATCGCGGGCTAATTGTCGACGCAGAGGGAAAGAGGAGTCATCGTACACCAATGATTGTCACGGATTACTTGCCAAATTATCCCCTCTCTACGAAACAGGAGCACGCACCTTCCAAGGGACGAGCGGGGCGTAGAAAGTGTCGCCGTGCTAAAATAAAAGCGAAACAACGCGAAGTTCGCGAGAGTGACGAGCCCGCGGCGCGCCGAAGGGTGGCTTTTTTTTGCAGTACCTGTGAATGTATCGAAGAGCGGGCAGCGTATCGCAGGTACCGCATCGCAGGTACCCTTTCGAACGACCGGACTGTATCGTGGAAAAAAGAAATAGTGAAAAAATTTTTTACGAGAAGTTATCTTTACAAAATTTCTCGTGCAGTGAGTTTTAAAATTTTTAAACTGTTGAATTTGGCTATAAAAAATTCTTTGTGTGCCAAAAAATAGGATTTTAGGCACTTTGCATCAATGACTTTTTTGTTGTAAAGTTTGTCTTTTATCCTTTGTGAAAAAAATGTGATTTAGTCAAACATGAGACATGTGTGTAACAATATGAGACATTTTGTAAATTATTATTATTTTTCTTGTTTTATCTTTCTTGTTGATAATAAAAATTATAAGTAAAGAAGTATTTTTTAAATGTATAATTCTATATATTAGCTAAGTTGTTCTGACGCAATTTTAAGATTCGTATGACATTTAGTTTCGCCACAAATACCGATTGATACTAGCCAAACCGTTTGTTGTATCTTACGATGACCTGTTTCTTCACTCGGTATATATATTCAATCCGCTAAATATATCCTATTGAAAATTAAATTAACTAAATCATTTTATCAGTTTCTCACTCTTTCGTATCGCAATATTTGAAAGACAATAAAAAGTATCATATATAATCCACAAATTTGATGTCAAAATAAAAACAACAGATACGACGAAGAAAAGAAATTGACAAAAAAATAATTTTTAATTGTTTATTAAGCTAATTTTGTAATTTGAATGCAATAAATTTATTTAATGCATCCGGTTTTTTTAATGACCCTTATTTATAGGTTTGAAGTAAACATATATTAAAAACCATCATGTGGGACGACGATCCTGCGCCGTGGGATACTGAGGAATCTGCCCCCGAAGCAGCCGCTGAGGGTGCTGCAGAAGGTGCGCCTGCCGAAGGAGCTGCGCCTGAAAAGCCGGTCCTAAAATTGGAAAAGATCGAGCCACCCCATTACAATCATCACTGGGTTCGACCACTGTTCCTCAACTACGCGTATCTTTACGATTATAGGTGAGCCGATCGTTTACAATTGATACAATCAAAACAAAAAATAGAAAGTAAAATCGCAATATTAATTAAGTTGAGTCAGATTAAAAACATTTTTAAGAAATAAAGAATAATTAGAAACGATTCTTTTTCAAGAAAATTCTTCGTTATTTGATAAAATAAGGTAATAATTTTGCTTAAAAAAATGTAACTTTAAGTATTATAAGGATATTTTTATTGTTTTAATACTCATATAAAAGAATTAAAATTGAAAAATTACAAAATTGCAATAGCGATTGATTATTTATTTCTCAATATTCGATCTCTAAATAATCTTTTCTACTTAATAGGAAGAATTATTACGACGACGTGATCGATTACTTAAATCATAGGCAGAAAGGTTTATACCGCGAGCCGCCTAGAGCTCAGGAATGGGCGGAAAGAGCCTTGAGGACTTATGATCAAAAGAACATTGACAAGAGTTTTAAGAAATCGGCCGATATGAAGTACATCACTGACATGGACCTTAAGTGCAGACATTACAGCTACCATACTCGCGCCTATTATAGTTTGAAGTATCAGAAGATTCTGTGAATTCATCATCCGTTTTGTTAAAAGCTGTTAAAAGGCAGTCATCAAAACAATTTAAATTTCACGTATTTTTGCGTACGTATATCGTCATGTGGAGCATCTTTGTCAATATTCATGTTTTAATTCCTTTTTTTTTTAATTGAATCGGATACACATCATTTCTATTGTCATTTTTACGCAACTCGGTAATTTTTATTAGATATTTTCTATAAATTAGTCTTATGTAGATAGTATTGTTATTTCTATGTGATTGATAACATTGAAAATTGATAACGCATATGATAACGTATTGGAGCAAACCATGTGATATAGTGATATATTTATGTATTTAATCGGTATATGTATATTTAGCATTGGAAACCGGCATTGTAAAATACACTTTTACATTTGAACGTCAAAAATTGCTTTTTTGGAAATGTAATAATCAATTTTATTTCTAATTTCCAGGAAAAAATTATAGAATTTTTAATTAATACAGAGTCTTTTAACGTACATGTTTTCTATAATTTTATTTAACACTTAATATTTATTAAATACATAACACTATTCATTTATTAAAGTACACGATTTTAACTAACAATAACGAATTGTTTTTACAGAACATTTTAACAGAATATCAGAAAAACGCCGCGTAACTAAATAAATAAGATTAATGATTCTAATAATTAAATAAAATAATGAGAACCTAATTATTAGAAAATATCTTCACAATATTTCATATAATATTTTTATGGTATTAATGATGATAAAATATACAGGACATTCTAGATCTATTAACAAGTATAATAGGAATAAATTCTTGAATTAATTTAAAGGTAATGGTTTTTTTACAAAACCATCAATAATGTTTAACAGTCGTCAAAAATCAAGAAATTTAGAAGTTAATCTATAAAAGATATAAAAGCATACCTTTTACTTAATTTTAAACGACCTAAACTTAGATTTTAATTTAAGCGTCAATTATAAAGATATTTAATGTCATAAAAATAAAGCTGAAATTCTTTGAATTTTAAGAAAATCTTTCAGATTAAAATATTTTTCAATAGAATGTTTTTATAAACATTGTAGCATTTAATAAGAAATAATCCTTAACTTTTAAAACGAAACACTCTTCTTTCTTTTCAAAAATTTCCTCTTTATCGGCTGCATCACGAGAGTTTCCAGCGGATCGGAAATCTCACTGGTGTCGATCAAGGAATTGATTCTGCGCTGTCTCCCAATCTGAGCAGCAGGTTGAACAGCTTCCGATTCCTCAATCGCTACTTTTGGCCACTTCATCAGAAAAGTCTTAGGCTTTGACTTTTCTGGAACCAAATCCGTATTTGCGATCTTACGCGTTCTGTCGAGTCTCTGCGTCAGCGACATCGTCTGCTCGTCTTCGTTCTGGTTGTCGAACTTGGTCGCATGTCGCTGGAATGCCATTCCAGCGGCCTCCAATGTGGTCTTAGCCTTCTCGATCTCAGCATTCAGGTCGATCACGTCGAAGATGCGATCCTACAAGAAAGTAAAACCCTCTGATATGATAAACATATTTATACTGTATATATACAATTTAAAAAAATAGAATTAAATTATTAAGATTTTACGTAAAATAAGATTCTCATAACAAGTCTTATTTGTATCTGATTTTCAACAGCAAGTTACTGGTTTATTTCTTTATTCAATTCAACCTGCATGTCTCGTCTTTTGCGTCTCAATTCCATCAGATCCTCCTCAAACGCAGCAGCCGCGCGTTCCTTAAAACGTCGATGCGTTGTCACGAAATCATCCTCGTAAGGATCCTCTTGAACAGGTCGACCACGTCCGTCGACCAAGAATTCCAAATCATCGTAGTAATCGTCGCGATTTCCCGACAAATTACGTGAACCTAAAATGTTAGTAGGATGTTAAAATTGTTAAAATAATAATCGTATATAATTTTTGCTACAACTCTTCAAGTTAAGGATAAGTGATAAGTATATAATTTGTGTTATTTTATAGTTAATGAAATATACAAGATGTATACAATTTGTTTAATAACGTTAAGTAAATTTATCTTAATTCAAAACATATTTTAGTAATTTTCCCCAAATTTCCGTTTATCAGTTTTGCTTACTTTGTAAAACAAATTCTCTTACCTGCAATTTCTACGCAGCTAGAAGAAAATCTCGTGCATGCGGGAGACGGAAAAGGAAACATCAAGATACGCGACAAATAAAAAATGTGTGACTAATAAAGGGAACAGAAGAAAATATGTGGAAGAAGAAAATACAGAAGAAAAATACACACACTTGATTACACAAGTACTTTCCGAAAAAAGTTTTCAAATAAGATTTATTCATATAAGAAAAAGAAATACATAGCAAATTTGGCAAAAGTTTCGTGGATTTGTGCTTTCTTGTGAAGTCGTATGCTGAAGAGTTTACATTACAGAATTTGCTCTCGAATAATAGAAAATAATGGAAATAATAATTTCAAGAAAATATAACAGAATGTGCGACTCTTTTCATAGTTGCGCTAGCAACGAATTTTTGATAAAAATATTCTCTGATGCATCTAAAATGTAACTATCGTTCGTTAGGAACAATCAACACTTAAGTTCTCTCGATTTGCACTCGAGGAACAAAGAAGCGAAAGAGTATCACGATGCGAGGAATATCGTTCGAAAGTACATTAAATTTTGAGCAATATAACTGATCAATCAAATCAACCAACGTCTTTTACAAAATCAATTAGAGATAAAAATAATGACAACTAAAAGAGAATTTATAAACTTCGATTGTAATCAAGAATACCTTCTAAAAAAATTGCAAGTAATTTAATTCTTAATATTTCATAAAGCTAAATATGATTGATTAAATGTTCTCGAAAGATGCACCTCACACATTAACATATTAATATATTTATAATTATAGAATTACGCGAAATGAACGTACGCGCTAAATAAATGACGGGATACATTATCATCAATGAAATAATATTACATTAATGAAATAGCGTACGCTCTTTTCGCGAATAAATCAGCGATAACGCAATTGCACAGACACCGTCAAGAACGCAAATGCGATGTAATGGTTTACACATCAAAAATATTTTATATGTCGAAGTACAACAGTGTCTTACAGCAAACCGAAACTCAACAATCGTCGTACTGTGCACTGCGATCAGAAATTGAAAGAGAATCCAATAAAAAAATTACTACGATGCTGATTTTATGATATAATCGTTATCAAATTACATAATCTTAGTAGCTTTTTAATTAAAAATTAAAATATTTAATAAATAGAAGTTCTTTTTTACTGCTTTTTTCAGGGATTAACAATTTTCGTCAAACGATTTCTATAAAATCTTCAGCGCATCTGCTATAAAACACCGTCACACATTGCGCATCTGCTATAAAACACCGTCGTGAGAATTAAGGTAAATCGTAAGGTTCTCTTCGTCTAGAAGTTGACGTGCTTCTCCGCGCGTTCAGCGCTGCGCATCGTCACCTTCTTACTGACGGTCGACTGTCGAACGACATCGGCGTCAGCCGTCGTAGCAGTTTCGTTCACCAACGCTCTAAGGGCCGCTGCCCGGCGTTCCCTCTTAGCTTGTCTATCGGCGAGCTCCTCCATCTCCGACTCGAGATCGTGGAGGCGCGCTTTCGTCTGCTTGGCTCGGCTGGCAGCGGCACTGGCTGGTATCAGGTCGTCGTCCTCGTTGATCAGCTTGGTCCACCTGGCGAACGCGGGCTTGCTCTCGTCGCCAATCTCGTCGAAGAGCCTTGAGCGTCTCTTGAACGTCTTCTCGGCCTCCTCGATCGCCGACTTGGCGCCCTTCCGAGCGGTCACCGCGTTCTCCAGCAGCTCGCTGGCGCTCTTCTTGGCTTGGCTCGCGGAGGTCGCAGCTTCGAGTTCCTCCTCAAGGCCCATCGCCGCCACCCGGGCGCGGAAGCGACGCGTCGTCGCCGCTACCTCCTCCGCGAAGTCATCGCCCACCCTACGACGCGCCGAGATGCGCTGTCCACGGCTGTCGTAGACGGTGTCCTCGTCTTCGGGAGTTAGCGGGAAATCGGGCTGGGACGATGGTTGGGAGGCGCGGTTACGGGGGTCGAGGTCGAGGTCAAGGTCGCGGCCGAGGGAGCCGGTGCGGGGACCGGAGAGGTCGCGTGTGCCTGCAAAAACCGACATCAGAAAAGAGCGTTGATTTGTGCGAATGGGACGGGCGATGATGGGCGCGATGGCGATGGACACGTCGTCGAGAAACGGTGTCGAGCGATCATAGTTGCGCGAACTTCGAGCGAAAAATGGAGATTGATGAAAGATGATGATGATGAATGGATTGATAAGAAGGGAAGACAGAGAACCTCGGCGAGGTCGCGAATTAATTGAATCAGCTACAAATTGCGCAATTTAAAAACGTAATTCGTTCAACATTCTATTATTATGGTCAAATGTATATGTTTATGTACTTGAATTTTATAATATGTATACTTAAAAGAGAAATCAATTATAACCAGTGGTGGTACCGAGAGAGAGAGAGAGAGGGAGAACAATATTTTTTCGTAAATGTCTTTATTTAAAATAGTGTGATTTTCACATTATGTAGATAGATATTTAAATTATAAATCGGGATATTTAAAAGTGATTTGATTGATCTTCTTCTGCAAAATTAAGGACTCCATTTTCCGCACTGGTTATAATTTAGCCTAAGAATCTAAAAAAATGCAACTTGACGTCAAATGCAACAACAGCATAAATGCATGATCCGGAAGTCCGCAATGTGCACGTTATAAACTACTAAATATTGGTTACAATTATTTTTAAATATGAAGGAAGAGCCTAATTAACAAAATAAATATATTGCAATAAATTACGGATTATAAAATAATCATCTATTATATTTTGTAAAATAACGAAATGTAAAATAGAAATCAAAAAGTTCTGATAAAATTATTGCTTGCGAATTTTTGTGTAAGAAAGTCGGTTACATTTTATGCTTTTCTACTTACAACTCGGCATTAGCCAAGTGAATTTTAGTCGTTTGATCAAAAATAAATTCGGATGCGCATCGCTTGAACAATCTGGCACATTTACAAAATCCCATCAGTACGCTGGACCATACTAATAAACGAACAGTTGCATGTAACATCAAGTATGACGCTCATTTTCATCCTCCGCATTACACGTGCGTCGTTACAGCTGTGATGTCAAGAACATACAGGGTGTCCCAAATAAATACAAATAACTGCAGCAGGTAATATTTTATCCCAGCAAAGAAATTTAAGATGCCAGTTTAATTATTCAAAACTCAAAACTTTTATTGAATGTTTAAAATTTTTATTATAAATTTGAATATTGCATATAATTTGTTAAAATTATTAAAAAATTTTTCTACAGATCCATGTTTTCTAAAAATACATAAATTTATTATTGTTAAGAATATTCTTAACACCGTGACTCGAAAAGTTATAACAATCACGTATCTCGATTCTCACATTTTCGTTGTAGAAGAATCAAATTAAATAATAAAATGCTAGCACATTGTTTTCAGAGAAACATCCTGTAGGATCCAGACTCACGCACTCTGCTACCGTACAATCGCTATAGATGCAATGCTAATTTATTTATGCAGCAATAACAATGCTTGTTTTTCGTGCTGTTACGCGAAAATGTAAATTTATTTGCGCGGTAACTGCGCGATCACTGTCAATTTTATTGCATATTTTATTGCAACAGGACACGCAACACCTTTCATAAATCGCCTCACCGTGTCTGTGTCGGTGTGAGATATGGATACATGTGAGTGTTCATGCGTGTAGATGTCCGGGAGTCAACAGCGAAGCTTCGCGACGTGTCAAAGTCTGATGAAACGACCCACGAGAAGCTGGCACGTTGCAACCGCCGATCCTGTTGATGATCGTCGTAGCAAGCGCAACGCAATGTACAGTAATCACACCAAGACTTTTGTCAAAGTCACGTGTACTTGGGAAACCAAACGTTTATTTAACAAGATGATACATCGAATAGCGGATCAAGAGACACAATCAAGAGACTAACTACAGACGGCAGGCAAAACAGTAAGGATCGGTTCACGCAAAAAAAAAATAACAAAGAAAAAGTGTTAGAATGTGAAGACTTCGTTTGCTGATTACCAGGACCACAAGTTTCAATCATGTTGTTAGCAAGAAAAGAAAAGACCGGCAAAAATGTCCAACTATCTGTATTTTCCATAAAATTTCTTGCTACATTTTTTCTTTATAACATTTCTATAAATTTCGTCTATAAATCCTTTTACACAAATCTTTAATAAATTAATTCGTAATGCAAAGATAATGCACAATGGTATATATTTTGGATCAATTATTAAATTCATATCCGATAATAAATATGTGTTACATATCAGAATTTTGTGTGGGAATCCTAATGGAGTTAAATAACGATGTGTGGTTCACTTCTATCCGGAATTGTTAAATAAAATAGTATTTTCCGTATCATTTTCTCTCTGTTACAGACCTCCCTTAACGGTGACAAATCCTGATTTGCAACGATTTTCCATTCACATCCTAATCTCGAGCTCCGCGTCGCGATTCCTTCGATCACTGAAACTGATCAAGGGATCCGCGATGCCGAGTCGAATAATCACAATTGACAATACCTCGCCGGGAGGTAGATCGATCATGCGAGTCGTGGGAGTTTTTGGAGCGTGGAGCGGGAT